ACCTCATGGACAGACACTCAAATTGCTAGCCTATCTGTTTGTTTTGTCTTATCGCTTTCTTGAGAAAGTAGTTGCTCCTGAAAGTATGCATAGAAAATTATCCTGTGAGTATGAAAAAGCCTATGCTGTCAGTAATACATTGAGAGGTAAATCTCAAATGTTTCCAGCTCTTCTTAGCTTGTAATTCAGGATTTCATACTTTTTGAACATCTCCAAGCACCCCACTTCTTGGATTAAACAGCTCTACCTCTTACTCCTTGTGCATGGTTCAGGATTTAAGCAGGTAGACTGGGGGTTGGTAGCTGTGTGTTCTGGCTCACTCTCCAGATCCGATTTAATATTGTGATCACTTAAATCATGCTTTTTGCAGGACTTATGCAATAATCTTAGAATCAGTTACCCAAGTCCTCAGTTATTCTTAAAATAGTTACCTGGCCCATTAACAAAAATCTCTTTGTAAACTATCCTCTTGAGATTGTCCACCAATCTATATGTTAATATATAAAGTTTTTCATCAGTGCGAATTCATTAACCTTTCATACTCTTGAATCTTCTCAGACATCTTAGCTCAGGATTAGCATTATAAAAATGGGTGTGTTGTTGTTTAAAGGAGAAATATATTCTTTGACAAGGCTTCCTTAGTTTGACTTACGTAAAACATTCTAAATCTTTTTCCTCTACCATCTCAGCTATGAATTGAAGACAATGCTATTTTTTATTTCTGTTTGCACATGGAATGAAGCAATTTGGGGAAATTTTTTGTATTGACATACTAGTTGCTTGAAACATGTAAAGATCAAATTTAACATTTTTCTTCCTTGGACATTGTCAAGTATTTCGAACAAAATTGATCGGTCTAGAAATCAATGAGGAAATTATTATTAGCCAAAAACTCAGTCCGATTTGGTCAATAATGGTAAGTTTGCTGTTTATAACCAAATCTTAATGAGTCTGGCACAGAGCAGCTTTCTGTGATTTTCTAGCATTCAATGTAGTTTTTCAGAATCAAATAGGAGGCATAATTTATGCAGACATCTACCAATAGCCAATGTTTGCCCATCTGAGGAAAATTCATTTTGTCTTCATAGCAACATAAGCAACACAAATACAACCCTCACCTCTAATTTTTGTGCATTTGGCTCTTTCTCGGGAAGAAGTTATGTAACATTCACATAAACAAAAAAAAGTCTTGCCATGCTAATGTGGCACCATACAAGTTTTTACTAAAGTATTTAATATTGAAATAGATCGAGGGGATATATTGGAATTGATAAATGATTCCCCCAAGATTTGTCTCGGTGCTTATTATGGCTCATGTTGTACAGTGCATAAAATTGGTTGAGGAGGGAGTTATTAGAATGTCATGTGCTTGTAAATATAATACAAATTATTAGAAGAAATAAGAGTTCAACATCCCACATTTAAAAAAATGCTTTATTTGTCTTAGCAGAAAGAAAATTAGCAAAATTTGAAATACATGATGGTATTTTCTTAAGAAATTTACTGCTACAACTCATCTAAAATTAGAATTGTGTGTTAAGCATTAAGCTAATTCAAGCATTTTGACAAGATTCCAAAGAAATGCATATTAATAAAGCAGAATTTTTAATTTTGAAAGAGTAGAAATTGAGGTAGAACTCTAAAGGATTTTCTATAGTTGAAATATGTATTTTAAATAATTCACTTAAAAGACTTAGTAGAAATGGGCCTGGTGCAGTAACCTAGTGGCTAAGGTCCTTGCCTTATATGCACCAGGATCCCGTATGGGTGCCAGTTCTAATCCTGGCAGCCCTGCTTCCCAACCAACTTCCTGCTTGTGGTCTGAGAAAGCAGTCAAGGACGGCCCAATGGTCTTGGGACCCTGCACTCATGTGGGAGATCCGGAAGAGGCTCTTGGCTCCTGGCTTGGGATGGGCTCAGCTCCAACCATTGCGGCCACTTGGGAAATGAATCATCAGATGCAAGATCTTCCTCTCTGTCTCCCTTCTCTCTGTGCATTTGACTTTACAATAACAAAATGTAAATCTTTAAATAAATACATACATAAAATAATAATAATAAAAAAAACTTAGTAGAAAACAAAGTGAGAAAACATGCCACATCCATACCTCCTTTGAATCGCATCCCTCACATATTCTTGCTTCGTTTCTAGTTAAACCCAGAAGTAAGAAAAAAATCACTGCGCTTTACCCCAGATGCACCTCGGTCTTAGGAAGGCAAAAAACCCAGCCCTAGATACTTAACACATACTACCTCATCTACTTGGAGTGCTTTCTGTGACTGTCTAGTCTGCTCAAATATCTGCGGATGGGGAATATAGCGTTAGTGTCCTTACAACATGAGTTAAGATTAACTTTCCATTTTGGCATTGGATATTTGACTAAGTGATAATATCATTTGACCATCTAAAACAGATAAGCAATGACGAACTGGAATTCTGAAGAAAACTAATACCATATTCCTGAAATGGATAGCATCTATTGAAGCTGAATATGCTATCTACAGAAGAGTGTGCATGCCTACCAATGTGTTTGGTACATCCACAATCATTGGTGTGCAATAGAATAAAGGGACTGTTATTAAAGAAGTTAAGGCCTAAAGCAGTTAGATACCACTCTCATGGATTGAAAATAATGAGCACCATTGACATCTCATGTCAGCTGGGAATCAAATGCCATTTCAATCTGGAAAGCAGGAACTGGAGCTTCTTGCCTGGTTTCCAGACCTGGTAGATGGCAGAGCTGGCATTTGAACTGAGGCTTGGGACAGAGTCGCCACTCACCTTTTCTGTCAGTGTGATCTTATTAGGATACGGGCTGTGTTTAGCCTGAGAAATCATGATTGTGCACAATTTTAATATCTGCTGAATCATTCCCCAAATGCTGCAACAGCCAATGCTGAGCCAGGAATTTCATCCCCCTCTACCACGAGGTGCATGGGACCAAGCACTTGGATGATCACTTGCTACATTGCCACAGTTCAAGTTCAGTGGAGGTTCTTTCATTGTAAGCCAACCATAGAGTCCAGCATCTTATTGTCCAGATAAGTTCAACGGCTTCTTGTGGAGACCATCTCTGGTCTGAAGGTAGAGCTGGCAGAGTTCTTTGTGGCTAAATGGGCCCGACTGGAAACCATAATGCTAAGGGAAATGAGCCAATCTTGCTCTTTTTGCAGACCCATTAACCAGGAGATGGATTGGAAGTAGGGCAGCCTGGACTCCAACCTGTGTCTATATGGAACGCTAGCATCTCAGACAGACTAACTGAACTTACTGTGCTACAACTCTGGCCCCCATGATGCATTTTAATTTTGAAAATAATACATGCTTCCACAGCTTGAACAAATAGCCCACCATTGAATGTAACATCATTCTACCATAAACCCAAGGGGAAGGCTTAGGGATTTGCTGTTTAGAAGCAGAGAAGCAGTTTAAGCACCCGACCATCTTAGAACAATTTTCTGAATGAAGCCTTAAACGATCTATCTTTGTAGTAACAGTATTTTCATAATATCCCAAATCACTCATGTCCATTTCAGAACAGTTTACTCCCACAGCCCAAAATTGCTTGTTAAACATATTGCTCAGTGCCCTCGCTCCAGTGTGCTCTCTGTAATTACATTCTGAAATAATGTGGAGGTATATGCAACACTGATTGTGTATTAAAGAAATTCACCCTGCCGTTCCTACCCTACGCCCCACCAATCATTTGCTTATTTCAAGCAACTTTTTTTTTTTAAGCCCAGCATTATTTTGCAAACAGCAATGGTCGGTGTCTTTAAAACAATCTAGCTGCAGCTAGATGGACATGAAGGAACAGTCCAAGGTAAGTGTGTGATTTCTTGAGAGGGGCATGGTCTTCCTTAGCCTCCTATAAGCCGGTCCTTCCTCACCTGCTGCAGGGAGTGGAGCGCCCCAGCGGTGTCAGGATCCCTAAAGGGCCTCAGGAGTGTCTGCAGCGTGAGCCTGCGCGCAGGGTCGCATCGCTTCACTGAAGGAGCTCTTCACATACGTGCAGTTCCACAGACACCTGCAAACCCGCGCGCACGCGAGGGGATCCACGTAGCATGCATACATGCGCGCGGAGCTGCCTTGGACTCACTCTGGTTTCACGTGACCCTGGAGAGAATTCCTACAGCTCTCAGCGAGAGGTGGCTGGCCCCATCCCTTGGTTCCACTGGGGCCCCAGAATCTGCAATGCCTCTTCTCACATAAAGGGAGACTGTGGAGATAAGCTAGAGAAAAACACAGGCAACCGGGACGGGGCCCTCAGGAGATGACGCTCTGGGAACCACCAAGCCGGGATTTCTGCTTTAAAATACAAAGCCCCAGGGAGACAAAGCAAACCCGAATTTAGATGCCCTGAGAAGATTTTTTTGCTCATTGCCACTGACAACCACCGTTCAGCTCGTGCCACCCGCGGGATTCAGGGAAGCCAGGGCGAACCACCCGGCTCGTGGACAGACGCGCGCCGCATCCCGCACTTGGCGCTCGCGCTGGCGGCGTTTGCGCTCTCCAGACGTGGCCTCGCACCATCTTCCCGGGCGCCCTGCGGGTTCCTTCCAGAGCCCAGCTGGTGCTTCTGGAGGGAGTTTCTAGAAGCTCTGTCTCTGCTGCCTCCCCTCCCCTGTTGCTTGGTTTTAACCCCCCCCCCCCCCTTCGTGTCGGGATCTAAGCCAGCTCCACCGCGTCCTCCCACTGAGGGGTACAGGTGCCGCCGTCCCGCTCGCTGCCGCTGCCTCCGGGCTGGCCTGGGGGATTGACCCAGCATCGCTGTCTGGCGAATGGTCTCCTGCCGGAGCGCAGCACCCTCTGCCCGTCGCTGGGGACTCTCCACCCTTCCGCGCGACCCCGCGCCTGGGCGGGCGGTGCTGACGGCGGGCAGGGGGCGGGTAGGGGAGCGGGGGCTCGCGTGGGGCTAGCCGCCTCCTCTGCCGCCTGCCCGCGCCTCCGAAGCCGGACCTGCCTCCGCATCTTCCTCCAGCCGCTCCATCCTCAGCCGCCGCCCCCGCCGGCAGCCTCGGCGCAGCGGGGAGGGGGCCCGGCGCGGCGGCCGCCCCTCGGCTCGGCCCGGGCGGCGTGCCTGCCCAGCTGCCCGCGGCGCTCACCAGCAGCATGCTCTATTTCCAGATGGTGATCATGGCAGGGACGGTGATGCTGGCGTACTACTTCGAGTACACCGACACGTTCACCGTGAACGTGCAGGGCTTCTTCTGCCACGACAGCGCCTACCGCAAGCCCTACCCGGGCCCGGAAGACCGCAGCGCCGTGCCCCCCGTGCTGCTCTACTCGCTGGCCGCCGGCGTCCCCGTGCTGGTGGTAAGCCTGGGGCTGGGGGTTGGGGGGTGCCCGCCCTTGCCTCCCACTGCCGTCTGTCGCCCTCGCCTTCGCAGCAGAGGGCACAGGAAGGGCCGGGGCGCGGCCGGGCCGCCTTTGCCTTCTAAGTTCCTTCAACTTGCCTGCCGCCCCTGCCCCCGAGGACATGAAGGGTGGTTGAGGAGGAAGTCCCTCGTCGGTGCCCACTCGCCATCCTCGCACCCCTTGTGGTGGCTGTGGTGCTGGGTGCAGCTGCGAGGCATGAATGGAAGGACAAGGGAAGTGGAGCCGTAGGAGGGATCATGGCATGGGGGTCTGGGCTGGAGAGACGGCTCTGCCCTTGGGGTGGCTGGCTGGTGTGGCCTTGTTTCACTGGCCGCCGTCTCCTCGCTGTGCTGCCAGGTGTGCAGCCACCACCAGTGACCAGAAAGAGGTCAGTCGCTGGGTGTGCCCAGGCTTCCTTTTCCGATGAACGATGCACAAATGGATGGGACTAAGCTGCTCAAGGGGCAAGTATCAGCAGAAAAGAATTTTGCAGAGTGTCTGAATGGAGAGGCCTTGGCCACACTGTTTTGCTGAAAAACAGGAGCTGTGCCCAAATTATGAGACGGATTTGTTTAAAGGCTGCTCGGTTTCCTGGGCAGTTGTAGTCCTTTCCTCCTCTCAGAACAGCACGGAGAATACCTTGCGTGTTTGGGCTGGGAGAGCGACAGCAGCAGAGATGGAGCTAGAAAAGGAGATGGAGATTGTGCAGATAGCACACCCCCCCACACACACGTGTGTGCGTGTGTGTGTGTGTGTGTGTGTGTGTGTGTCATTGCTGGGGGGAGAGTCACACCGGTTACATTTGCGAATGCACTGCAGAGTGATTTGTAAGAGTGAGCGGTGTATCTTTAGGAAGACTCGAGACACTAGGCTTCTTTGATGTTGACCAGATGTTGGACCCTGCGTTCCTCTGATGCAGCCCCTCTCTCTTAAGAGATAATACATAAGGCATTAGAAAATGAACAGGAAAGGGAGAAGGAAGCTTTCTTTTCAGTAGTTGAATGCCCAAAGTGATCAACAAATGTGAAGAACATCTGTTGTATCCACTAAGTTTTGGTATTGATCTTTTATTTGATGTTAGGGGAAGTAACTTAATAATACAGAGAATAGTGAAAAATTCCTAACAAAAGAAAATTTTCTGAACAAACCAAGGATATTCCAGAGAACTTCAAAGTAACTTTGTTTATGCCATGCACTGTAATAACCGACCTCACAATCGGCCTGGCTGAATAATGATTCAAAATGTGTTCTGTCTTACCCAGGAAAATGTTTTACACATATATGATTATAATTTGCTAAAAACTGTGTCAGATGCACCCCAGTCCTACTTCCTGTCTGTGTTCTCTTTAGTCCATTTGAAAACCTGACAGAGGGGAAAAAAAATCTGTGTTTTGGGCCTCTTTACTTTCTGCAGGTGCTGAGGTTCCTGGCACATATTTTCCAGGAGACTAAATGGAGAAAGCCTTTTACTTTCAGGTCATTGGTTTGAGTGCAACATTAATCCATAGTGTCAGCAACTGCCCCTTGGTAATTGACACTCTGACTTATTTAAATGAGATGGTGTGTCTCAGATCGTCTTCAGTCAATCCACGATGGCAGATGCCAACTGTAGACAAGCATCAGTTGGCCCAAGGAGTTAACTGTTCTCCAGTCAGGGAAAATCCAGGAGTGAAAGGGGTAATCAGTTGATTGCTAGTGAATACTAACTTTGTGCTGGGCACTGAGTGGTTATGAAGTGGTGCTTGCAGTTGATGGTGTCTTCAGTTAACAGTCGAGGAAGCTGAAGTTCAGGTAGTCGATAGGAACCATCTGAAAGCAAAAGAGTTGGATGCCGTGGTTGTGTGCCTAGGGAACTGGTGCCAAATACCATCTACTGCCGTTGCTTCCAAGGAATGTTTTTGAAAAGAAGATGAAAAACGGATGACTGAGCAGGCATCTAGAGGACAGGTGCATGTATTTTTAAAAGACAGTGTCCACCTGGATTTCCGCGTTTTGACCATCATTTCTTTGTGTCCAAAAAATGGATTTGTGAGTCTGTTGGAAGTGTTGGAAATGTTGCATTTTGTAGGAAAGCAATGTGCTATACTTAGTTTCCCATTCTGCTCCTAAGAAAAGCTCACAGCACAAAGTAAGGAGCTAGCAATGAAAAGGGACAGCTCTTCCGGTTTCTCATAAGTGCACTAGTTTTACATACTTACTGGGCATAAAAATAACACCATTAATGACATTAGTATTGTTTACTGTTTGTAGAGCCATTGCTTTATTTTGCATATGCTAACAGGCATATGCTAATAGGCTTTTTTCTTTTACCCATACAATTTAATTGTATTATCTCAGACAGCAAATATTCTCTTTATCATCCATTATTTTGAAAAATCAAAGCTCAGAAAGGTTAAGTGACTTGCTCAACAATTAAGGTTAAAAATGCTATATCCAGGATTTTTATCCCAGTTATCAAGTTCCAAATCCTGTGTGCTTTTTCCATTACAGTATGTTATTGAAATTTACTCATCCATCTTTCTTCCAGATTAATGCTTCAATCGTCCCCTTATCTCTTACCTTGCTTTTTTTTATGTTTATTACTTTATTTGGAAGGCAAGAAGAGACACATACACATAGAAAGGGAGACTGGCAGATCATTTATGTGCTGGTTCATTCCCCGTACACCTGCAGAAACCAGGGCTAGTCCAGGGTAAAGCCTGGAGCGAGGAACTACATCTGGGTCTTGCAGATGGGTGAAAAGAACTTAGCTGCTTGAAATGTCATTTGCTGCCTTCCAGGAGCACTAGCATGAAGCTGAGTTAGAAGCAGAATAGCGAAGTTGGAATCAGGCACTCTGATGTGGGCTGTGTGTCTCCAGCTGTGGCTTGCTGCAGGGTAATGTGCAGTCCCGCAGGGATGTAGCTTGTACTGCACTGATTAAGCTGCTTCATATCACATGTCATTTTTACCTTTTAAACTCCTAATTCTTGAGAGTAATTTGAAAAATCATTACTTTTCACTGTAGTCTTCATATTTACCTTAAACATGCTTATTTCTCTTAAGGACTTAGACAAGATATCTTTTGTCTCTTTTATCAGTTTTGTATGATATGTACTTGGAGCCTACATTTAGAATCTGAGGCTTAGGATTCAGATCCAATGTACACTGTGGCACTCCATGACGAGCAAACTCCATTGGCTGTGTTATTATTGTTCATACTCCATAAGCCTCAACTTCTTAAGTCACAGGATGTAGGCTGTTACATTTAGTTGCAACATAAAAAATCATCTTTGGTTCATAGGTGACACTCCATAAGGTCATTACATAATTTACCTTATTATTGTAAAATACCAATTCAGTGAATGTTTATTGAATTCCTTTGTTTTAACTTCTGTATCTGGCATGGTGTAAGCTACAAATACAACATGGCCACTGAGTCTGAGGAATTTGTGGCTTAATTTGGGAAATCAGACAAATACATCAAACTCATACTCTAAATAATAATGATAGAAGCTGTACGTATAGATAGATGTATGTTTGCACATGTCCCACAGACTATGCTGGTTCACAAGGGATTGGAAATATGTAATTTGGAGGTGGAGTCGTTTCAGGAAGGGCATCAAAGAGGAGATTCTGGTATTTCAGAGGTGCCTTGAAAGAGAAGTCACCAGGGAATGTGAGATAAGACATCATAGCACAGCTCTGTATGTAACCACAAGGAGGCAGAAAATGCAGACTATGGTTTTCAGACAGTGCCTGGTTTATCTTATTTCTACAGTTCTGTGTGGGGAAAATGGGGCACACAGCTTAAGGCAAAGGCTATACTTGCATTGATTAGCCTTGGGACTACTGGCTGAGGGTATTAAATAGTAAGGAATCGAACAGGGACAGTCTGATGAGTGATAGTTTGGGATCTCTCTTGATTAGAAGTGTATAGGGCTTTTCTACTTTCTGTTATCTGAGTTAGATTATCATATATTTTGTCTTCACTGTATTGTATGACTTTACTTGTATTTTCAGGAAAATTTAAATGGAGTTTATTTAAATAGATGACAATTTTTAAAAACTCTGTTAAAATCAGTACCATCCAATTTTTGAAATAGAGCATTTACCGAAACACCACACAAAGAATACACAGGTGTAAAATTAATCTGTGATATTTGGTTTTCAGTGATTAGAACAAGTGACAATGACATTGGGTGTGTGTTCCCTGAATTTGGGTAGTGTGACTAACAGTAGATCTAAGGAATGATGCTTGCAGGAGGCAAACAAGAGTCCATCTTCGTAGGGCAAAAATCAAGATAAAGAAAGTTGACACCACCCAGGGTAGCCACTGGCATCAGTCAGGGTGGGTTTACAATTTAAGGCACATCTGTTTCTTGTCTGCATCTCCAGGAAGTTCATCCTAGGTCTTAGGCCTCACACATGACAGGTATAGCCACTCCTGCCATCCCAGTTGTGCTGACCTCACTAAATGCAATGGAGATAGGTGAGGATGGAAAAGCATCTCATCACCAGGCAATCCAGGCATGTTGGATCAGACTGCCTGGGGCTTTCCCATAAGCTCCATCTCCCCAGAGCTTGCCTGGTGCTCCCTTATAGCTCCTAGAATACCTTCCCGTGGTATGGTATAGGCAAAATGTACAGACCTGGCTGTGTCAGCAAAGTCCGGATTCTTATCCTGGTTCTTCTCTCTTGCCAGCATTGTGAGCTCAAGGAAAATTTTCTTGTTCATAAACTGGAAACAGAAGCTGGTGTTCAGCCTGGGTTTACATACCAGTTGATTAGCTTGACATCTGGCTCAAGTTCATGACTCCAGCTTCATGCCGGTGTGGACCCGAGGAGGATGACTCAAGTCATTTGATCCCTGCATCCCTGTGGGAGAACTGAATGGAGCTCAAGACTCCTGACTTGCAGAGTCTGACTTTTTGCTTTGCAGGCTTTTGAGGAGTGAACCAACCATTGGAATCTCTCTT